CAGAGCGAGCTTCTGCTTCCGATTCAACGAAAACAAATCGTCGTCACCATTGACGGTGACAATGACGGGTTGTGATCGGCTTGGCTCATGTCGACTTCTGTTCGAGCGCGTCTTTGTCGAGCGAGAGACCAGGCCAGGATTCTGGATTGTAGTCGTCGTTGACACTTTCGCCATGTTGCTGCTAGTTTATCCGACAATTGAAGCGGCCTAGAAGCGGCTTGGACACGGGCCATTACTTATCTACCTCGAGCCCCTTACACGCGGTGGGTTCTGTCTCGGCGGAGTGTTGCGAGCCATGCAGCTGCCGATGGAAATTTCAGGGAAATTTCCCACGAGGCTGAGGAGATTTTGAGCACTGCCGTTTGTGGGACTGTCTCACAGTTGAGTCGTCTAGTGTCTCATCCTGGCGGTGCAACTTAGGAGAATTCTAAGACAAGCAATTTCGCGGAAAATGAACAAGGAAGCAATAAACATGAAGAGAGAAAGAGCTCCTCATCTGCTCTCCGACGCCCAGGCGAAATATTTCGTTGCTTCCGTTTCCTCTCCTCAGTGTTAAATCCGGTAGAAGTCCGCCTGCGCTAGACGCTGTCACCAGTATGAGAACGTTTCGCTTGGCGTTTTTGCTATTCTTTGCACTGGGAAGCAGTTCAAGATGCCTCGCAGTTTATCAACTGACAGAAGTTTATTCCCCTTCTTCGTTCTTCGAAAAGTTCAACTTTTTCACGGTACGGGACCTGCCTCGCCCTACTCAACCGACAACTGATAAACCACCATGTCGGGGTCCCACGAGCTTCAACTAATCCAAGAGGAGCTTAGGGGGATGATCCAACTGAAGGCTACGTTGACTACACTTCGGAGGCCACAGCAAGAGCGAATGGACTCATTGAAGCCTCCGACGCCCACGTCTACATTGGTGTGGACCATCTAAATGTGTCCTCCGGTCGCGGAAGACAGAGCGTTCGAATAGAATCGAAGAAATCCTACAACCATGGCCTATTTCTCCTGGACGTGTATCACATGCCGGCCCCGATCTGCGGTGTGTGGCCTGCTTTGTGAGTTTCACCAGTAACATAGCCTTCATGACACGTTGGATGTCCTACCTCGGAAATGGTCATTTGGAACAAGCTATCTGGAGCATTGTGGAAGTGTACTTACGATTTTTACACTTGCAGCTGGACAATGGCATCACATCGGCCCTGGCCCGAAATGGGAGAACTCGACATTATCGAAGGAGTGAATTCTCAAAATCACAACAATATTGCGCTCCATACTCGCGAAGGCTGCGAAATTATAAACGGAGGCGACTTCACCGGTACGGTGGACACGTATAATTGCTACGTGTATGCTCCCGACCAACATAAAAACATCGGATGTAAAATCGTGGCAAATCAATCGAATGCTTACGGCAGTGTCTTCAATAACGAGGGCTGGGGGATCTATGCAGTTGAGTGGACAAGCACGGCTATCAAGGTGTGGTTCCTCCGCCGACGACCAATACCCTCCGACATCGCATACGGACGGCCGACACCAGCTACCTGGGGCCCACCGTTAGCGAGCTTTTCGGGCGCATGCGACATCGACTCATATATACAGAACCAGACCTTGATCATCAATACTGCTTTTTGTGGAGGCTGGGCTGGTAGTGTCTGGCATGAAGATTCGCTATGTGGCCAAAAGGCGCGAACGTGCGTGGAATTCGTACGTATGCATCCAGCAGAGTTCAGAGATGCTTACTGGGGGATACATAGCCTGAAGGTCTATGAAGATGGAGATGACCCCAAGAAGCAGACAGCCTCCTCGTACGTCGTTCTTTTAGGCTTCTGCATCTGCTCAACGACCCTCTGCGCTGTCATTTGGCGTCGGTACACGCGTCGGGGCAGGTTCCATAAATTGAAGTCATAAACGACGACTCGTTCCACTCTTTCCGTTTTGACGCAGAGCGCATGTTTGCATCCGTACCGAGTGCAAATGAGCGCACGAGTGTCAGGATCGACCCATAAATGGAAAGACTTCAACAAGTCGGCCTGTGATGGCGCCATCATCGCGGTCCATGGCATGACGAGATGACACATGTTATGGTTTCAGTTTGAAGGGTGAAGACAAGGATCATCCTCAACCGAAAATATCGATGTGTCGAGGACAGCGTTGCCGCAGGCACGGCATCTGAAGTGGCAGCCGCCACACGGGAATCAATTACCCCAATCTCGTTGCCAATTTCGGGGATCTAGCGGCACGGTAGCCGGTTGGTCCCGGTTGGTCCCGTGCAGGGTCCCGGGTGACAAGGGCAACGGCCATATCCCGACCCGTACCCCTGACTGTGTACGGACGAAAAGTGTGTGTTTTCGGAAAACACGAGATACCCTTAATACAGTAGTTTTTTTCCTGCCGCTAGCGTTTACTTCCCAACGCTCTTCTTCCTCCTGCACTAGCGGTAGCCTTCCGCCACAGGAGTCGAGCGCAGACCCAACCTTTCGGGGTTAGGGTTAAGCCCAACTCTAACCCTCTCCAGTCCTAGGGTTACCGTTCCAGGGTTACCTCCCGCTGTAGAGCACGCCTGCTTGTTTGTCGGCCGGCAGCCTAACGAGCCTTTGAGACTGCCTGAGTTAGGTTACCGTACGGAGGCTTGCACGTAAACCCCCGTCCGGACAGGTTGAGGGTTAGGGTTGTGAAGTGGTCAGGGTTGCGTTGGTCACCGCCCACGCAGGGTTAGGGTTACGGGCTCAGGGTTACCACTGCCGCTTCTGCTCCGCTGAGCTTAGGGTTAGGGAAGTGACGCTTGACAACCTTTGCTGACGGAGGGTTAGGGTTGCAGCAAGTGTTGAAGCCAGCAGGTGGTGCTGCTGTCAACCCCCCAGGGTTAGGGTCAGGTAGATAGGGTTACCACTGCCGTTGTCGCTCGTCGTCCTCCAGGGTTAGGGTTACAGTGTCCCGCACGGCAACCCTGCGTCGAGGCGGGTTAGGGTTAGCCACTGCTTGGAGAAAGTTCGTCACCCTCTGGGTGAGGGTTACGCGACCGGTACTGTTACTGTGAACTCGAGGTTGGTACGGCAAGACGGCACCGAGGGTTACGCCAGCTTCGTACAACCGGCTGCGCGTGGGTTTACGACTCCCGGCCCCGTACCGCCGCTTTCAAGGGTTAGGGTTACGGTCCCGGCAACTGTCGTCGCCCACTCGGCTCCGGCCCGTCCTCCGTGCGGGGCTTGCCTTACGCTCGTCCGTGCCACGGCTCGGCCGAACCTCGCCACTACGCACGGCCCACGACCGCTGACCGGCCAGTCGAAAAACGGGCTGGTACAGCGCCAGCTTTACAGCCGTTCCCTCCCTCCTACTGGGGAACCGGGTCTGCACAACTACGCAGTCCACCTACGGTGTCAACTTACGCACGTACCTACACCTGCGTCGCCTTTCACCTTGCGCTTGCGTTCAACTCTCAACGCTCCCACGTCTGCGCGAGAGACTACCAGAACAACACCCCTCTCACAACCATGAACATTCGGCGTCTTGACGAACGCCTGGATGGGCCGACTACCGGACGAGAAGCTGCGCTAAATCGTGATGGATAGGAAGGGAAACTACGGCGTGGGGCGACGTGCTCTGTCGATACAAAAAGGCCAAAGAAGGAAACGTAGGCTCTTCAAAATTGGACGGGACGTTGGAAGCTACTGAACCCTCACGGTTCACAATTGCAAAACTTGCGTGCGCTTTGAACGGGCTCGGAGGATGCTGTTAGCGTGCCCAAGAGCGCGGTATATTTGAAAAGTGACGCAATGTGAGCTGCATCCCAGAAGGTTTCATTCCGTATCCATGCGTCATCCCAGGCCAGAACAGATTGACGTCATTTCTGATCGGCACCAGTGACAGGGTTTGCACATGGTCGCCCAACAGGCTTACAGGTAATTTAGTTATCCTAAGTATCAGTTGCCGATGAACGCTCTGCTCGCAGGTCTGTCTCTACAGCTTACAAAACGGGTCTGCGATAAGGTGTGGAGTCTACCTCATCCGTGAACAGCACATAGCAACTTTCACATTTCCCATGCAGCGGAGAACAAAACGACATGCCTCGAAATGATACAGAAACTCACAACGGCAAACGTTCTGGAGCGTATCACGAGGTAATATCATGTCCAGAGGTCTAGCGTCAAGCCCTGCTGACTGGGGGCGGTCGCCTTGGTGTGGCAACGATTTGGAAACGTACGTACAACGAGAGCCAAACAACAATTTTTCTCTGGAATCTTCGGTGCACTTTGAGACTGAAGGACACCCTTCTGAAGCAATTAAATGAATAGCACGAGACGCTGCTCGACGCCTTGTAACGTGGAAATGACAGTGTGAGCTACAGGCTGGTCGCTGATGGGCTTCTGGTATGGACGAGGGCGTAGCAGAAAACATACTGTTACAGACCAACCGGCGGCCGCCAGGCAGGGCGTTCTGTTATAGGTCAAACGATATGTCCGGCAGAATCAGGGACAGGGGACCTGCAGGCAAGGCTCCCCAGGTCACGTGCCATGGCACGTGGCAAGAAGGAGCGACGGGATCGCAGGAGCACCACCGCGCTCCCAGCGATCCAAGGGAAGGATCGCAGGATCGCGAGTGCGATCCTGGAGATCCCCAGAGGATCACGGAAGAGCTGGGCGGATATATATACTACAGTCTTTACCCAAGAGTAGATAGCCAGATCTTCAGTGATCAGTCTAAGCATTCATCTGAATGAGAAGTCTTCAAAGCTTCTTAACGGACTCTTGTGAAATCGTTTACTGCTCGTCAAACCTAGCTTACCTCCTAAGCAACAGCAAACCTTAGGACCCTATCTAGGCCCCGTTACACATACACGCTGCTAGAGGACAGGCAAGACGGTAGTTGTTCAAATGTCTTAAATAAAGTCCTCCAAGTCAGAAAAATGCAATCGCTACTCTAGACTCAGAGCGTCCAATCCATTGCACAGTACAGTACACCATAGGAGAGCAAATTAAAGCGCACTGATGCGAATGCAGTTATGGACCTCATTGCGCAAAGTCGGTTGATCGAGCAATCTGTTCCCATTCTTGGCAGATGTTGAGGGCATTGTGTGCGGCTTTCGATATTTCGTCGACTGCGTCGCTTCCTAACGGCAGGAAATCGGGAAGCGGCTTTCCGTTCAGGCCACAAGAACCTTTGATGATCTTGTATAGCACCTTTGCTGCCTTTCCGGGATCTCCTGGCTGATTACCGCTCTCACTAGCAACAGCAGCGAAGACCCGTTGGCTAATTTCTCCGTAATCCGCTATACCATCTCTGCCATTGGATGTCCTATAATTACCGTCCGGTGCGAGAAGCTCTGTACGAAATCGCGCAGGCTCGACAAGTAAGTGACGAATCCCGAGCGGCTCAATTTCTTTTGCAAGGCCGAGAGACAGAATGCGGAGAGCAGCCTTCGATGCGTTATACACGCTGGCGCCAGCATCTGCGAACCACGCAGCCATGGATCCAATAGTAATAAGCGTGCCGGATCGCTGTTTCCTAAGAGATGGAAGTACAGCGCGATAGACGTTTAAAGCCCCGAAAACGTTTGTGTTGAACTGCTCTTCCGTTTCTACAGGCGTGAGGTCCTCTAGAATTCCAGTTTGGACATATGCAGCGCAGTTAACAACAAAGTCGACGCGGCCATGTGTATCGAGGATGGTTTGAACGTCGGCCTTGATTTGTGCTAGAGGCTCACTCTGGTCCAGACGAGCAGCTAGAATGCCTCGTTCAGCAAGATGACCAATCTTTTCTGGCGTGCGCGACGAGGCAATAACGGTATCTCCGTTTTCAGCGGCAGCGAGAGCTAGTTCCAAACCAAGGCCCGAGGAAGCACCCGTGATAAGCCACGTCTGTGATCCCATCATCACTGGCGTTGTGCTGGTAATTAAAAGCGATGTGGTAGATATAGAGCGACGTGAGAAGATTGATGCGCTTGACACACAAATGCACAGTGCAATGAAGTAGCAATGCCCGAGAGTACTCGACGATGGTGCGGCGTGCGACCGGGTTTTTATGTCTGTTGTGCACTGTAACGCCATCTGGCGTTATACCATATAATTTCTCACGGTTGCTGGAGCCACCGTTAGCTTCGGTATGACTGCTGTTCGAGTGATCGGATCACTCGGAAAGCGTAGCCTGTCATGAACGGTCGACACGAACGCCCAGCGCAGCTGAGCCGTAACACCGTCGGAGTTTACTATGTCCGTGTGGGTAACCGCGGAGTTTGGGGCTCTGGAGAATGTCTGATCAACACACGTCTGGATACTAGCCACTATGTGGCGCAGCAGCGTGATCCGCACATACATAGTCAGCACCGGCCCCGATTTTCGGTGTTGATTTTGAAGGGTTAGGGTTAGTGAGCGAAGTGCGTCCAACCATGCCGAAACAAGAAGCCGGTATGAAGTTCTTCCGATACCGGCCAAGTTCTTCAATGCCACCCAGGCAATTGACTGTCAATGCCTTCTTCACAATTCTGCTGCTCGACTGTTCAAGCGAACCATCACGCATCGGCTACAAGCGAATCATCGGAAGGAGGCAACGTGAGTAATTTTGACCAGGAGTCCACTGGACCAGCTTATATCGTGCCGCGGCATAATTAACTGCGTAACAGCGATGTCGCCTTGCTACAGAATAGAAATATATGCTCGCGTATGCCATCGTTGATCTTGCACGACCCGTCGGAAGCAACGAACTGTAGCGATTCAATGTCGTACTTTTGTCTCGAACCAGGGTGCGTATCGGCGCCATTTAAATCCTGCGAAGAGCTCGAGGTGCATATACTTTCCAGTCAAAAAGAGAATCCGGCATCGCAGCGCAATGTCCTGGACCCGTTCGAGCGGCTCGAACGGTACGTCCAATTTCTTGAATTGTTTGGATGCGACGCTCGGGATGGCCCAGAACGTGAGCGATATATACACCAAGCAAGGGCGCCATCAGACACCAACGGAACTGGAGTGACAGGGCTCTCCGGAGATACAAAGATGTCAGGAGTGTCAGCTACAGTCGGAGTACTCGAGGTTGGGCAACAATTCAGCAATATGCTGTCACCCATCAAAAGACTCGATGTTTGCCCAGTCGACGCCACGAAGCTCGAAGAACCGAAATCCGGAGCCGTCAGACGATGCGATGGACGTCACGCTAGAGGTCCCGCTGAAGATTCGAGCTGGATGAGGGCAAGGGTGCCTCAGCAAAATTCCTTCCAAGCCAGGGCCAACGTCCAGCTGATGTCGCAGTAAGTGTGGGCAGTCTAGTCACGCAAAATCGACAAGATTGAGATTCAGATGGGTCGTTGGACTTTGGCAACTGCTCATTGTCGGGTACCTCAGGATAGCGGGTCCGCCTGGTCTCAATTTCCGTACTCCAGCTATTCGCGCCGAGTCTCTCTGGGTAGGAGCGCGATATTACATACACCACGTCAAACAACCTCAGTAATTCTTGGCGTGCGGGATCTTTAAAGGCCTCATGAGTCGCCGTAATGATGATCTTGTGCAAATCCCCGGTCCCGGCAGGACCCTAGAGGCGAAAGCCGTGGCAGGTGGCCTGCAAAATCGAGTCGATGATCGATCGCACATCGCGATGTACACCTACTCATCTCGGACATCCAGCCACACGTGCGTAAAGGGCCTTCGCAGCGACACTCTTTTGCCCAGCCACCGACCGCCCCATTAATAGCACGCGGATACCCGAGCCGGAGCATCTACGCTTGGGCAACAAATCAGTTCGCTGACCGCCAACAGTGGGCACCTATCGTGCCAGGAGAGGCGAGGCCAAGAGTAACTCTGGCAAGCTAGTGGTCGCGACACTACGCATGGGTTTGATTTATGGTTTTGGCCCAGGTAACAGGTTGAGGAGCAAAAGGAGGAGGGGACGACGAAAGGCGTTCACACTGCTTTGCTACCACGGCATTACCGCACGCATGGGACTGCTAGCCTGCAGGAAGCCAGCACCGTGTCTATAAATATTGCGCATCCTGGTGGCGCAGCGTACTGGCCACCTGCTCTGCGCATGCCCGTTGCTTGTCGCGCTGGTCGTCGCCCTCCGTGTAGCTTTCCGGACGCCCTCACTCCAAGAACGCGTCGTATAGATAATAAGCGACGCGTCTCAAGGTCACGAGTAGACACTACATTGATTCGGCCGCTGTGGTTGGCCCCGTTTGAAGTACTTTGCATGTATCCGTTGGACCTGTAATCTTCTGCACCCATTAACGCACGGCGGCCTAGGCGCGCGTGGTCTGCGTCCTGGAACGCCAAGAACGTTATACAGAATGCCGTCTGGTCCACCCTCGTAAGCTGTTCTGTTGTCTGTGTAGCAGGTACCCTCAATACCCTGCAAGCCGAACAACTGCGCGGAAGCGTTGTGGAGACCGCGCGTACGAGGGGTTGAGGCCGCCAGGTGCGGGAGGATCCTCCCTCGAAGGAGAAGAATGGTCGCACTTTCCTCTCATTGTCATGACGACACGGCGCGAAGTTGGGTTTGCGTTGACTTTCTTTTCGGTTCATCCCCAGGTTTTGCAGCGTGTTTGCGCTCTTGTCGGCTGATGCCACTTACGCCGCGTGACGTATCGAGCGGAAAAGTACGAATGCTTGGCTGTCGGATACTGTACTCCGCTCAGGCGCAGACAAAGCTCGTCATTTGCGGCACAAAACCGCGGGATCGGGAAGGACGGGCGCGGCTATGGAGCGTAAACGGCAAAGCGGTCGAACTGGCGGTCCTTCGCAGTGAACATCCATCCGGGTTAGGCAAAATCAGGGTGCTGAGGTGTTCGCCAGTCAGCGCCAGCGGCAGTCAAGGCTGGCAGAGGCAGGCAAGGCACCCGAGGCATGAGAAGGGTTCCAACCTTTCAAGAGTTCACCCCGCCATGCCGTGCCTTCCAATCCCGTCTTGCCTCGTCGGCCAATACGATCGCATTTTGGCTGTTCCTGCCTTGGAATGACGTTGTGGGGCACGGACCCAGCTGCCCAGAGCCACCCAAGGGCCGACCACCAGACGCACCCTCCCCCCCTAAACACCTTGTCCTCGACCACAGCAAGATGGCAAAGTAGAATCCCATCTTGTCCCACCCCGGCAAACCTCTCGCCTCCTCTGCCTGGGGTCGTCGGCAGGATTGGACAGCACCTTCGTCGAGAGAGGCTGGCAGCCGGACTACCCCGCCCCACGACGCAATCATGTCGAGCGAGAGGCCAGAGGATGTCCGCGCGAGCCTGCGCTCCTTGGCCATGGCAGCGCCTCGCCCCACCCAGGCCATCCATCCGCTCTCTCGTCCGCTGCCCCCGCGCCGCGCCCGCATAGGCATAAACGTCGCCTGCGAGCCGTGCCGCAAGCGCAAGTCGAGGGTATGTTGCTTCGCGTCGAGCCATCTGGCGTTGCCGTTGCTGCTTCGTCCTCCTCTGCCTCTGTCTCTGCCATTGCTCCCATGTTGCTGACAAGATTGCCGCACACAGTGCAACGGACAGCGGCCAAAATGTGCTTCATGCATACACCACGGTTTGCATTGCCTATACGTCTCTGCGACCGCGTCCGAGACCAACTGCCAAGCCCTCAAGCGAAAGGTCACGGAGATTCAGCAGAGGATCGAAGACCACGAGCGCCTCTATGCCGCTTTGCGGACCATGAACGAACAGGACTCCCGTGCCGTGCTTGATAAGCTACGACTGGGCGCTGATGCTAGCACTGTCCTGCGTCAAATAGAGGAGGGCGACTTGCTCCTCCAGCTGTCTCTGGTCCCAGAGTCGCGAAGGCGATATGAGTTTCCCTATGCCTCCAGCATGCCTGCCTATCTGCAGACCCCCGACAACCCCTATCTACAATCCCCCATCTACGGCATCACCATTGACGACCGGTTTGTCCCCGGACCGAGCCCATCTCCGCGGCCCGACGACAGACTCAATCACTATCGCGGGGTGTATGTGCAGCCATATCACTCCGCCACAATCATCGATGATCGCCTCTCCGAGGTCGAACTGTCTCGCTGGACTTCAGTATCGGCAGACAATCGGCTCATGAGAAAGATATTGCACGCCTACCTGCTGCACGAATACCCAACTTTCCCCGCTCTGCACAAAGATATATTCCTTCAAGCAGCCATCGACAACGACAAGCGCTTCTGCTCTCCGCTGCTCGTCAATGCTCTCTTGGCCCAAGCATCGGTAAGCGGCCCGGTACCACGCTATGCGCAAGGACTGACAAACGCAGCACTGCTTTATTGGCCTCCCGTATCGTGACCAATTCTGGAACCCAAAAACCCTGGGCTACTCCTTTCTCGCCGAGGCAAGGCGCCTATGGGAGCTGTACGTGCATACGACAGTCGACCTTCCAACTTTGCAGGCGACCCTAATGTTGCACATCACGTACAGCATGCATTGCATGGACAAGATCGGGTTCCCCTATCTCGTCAGAGCTGTGACGATGGCGAAGCAGCTCCGCCTGTTAGATGGTAACAAACACATTCGCAGTACTCGACTAAGACACGCACGTGACTTTACTGCGTGGTGTTTGTTCAATTGGCAGACGTAAGCTTGTAGCCTCTGTGCAACGGGCAATTACACTGACGTTGGAATTAGTTTGATGGGCTACTACTACTTTCGAGCTCCCATCATGAAAGCACCGCCGGCATCAACCCTTCCAGACCCTGACCGCCACCCGTCTTGGTATGGAGGTCTTGTGCTCAGATACAGCCTAGACTCGACACCATTTCTGTCGTCTCTGGGACTTGTATTTAACGCGGTTTCGAAGTTGAGGGTCATTATCAATGACCTTGCCATCATGCAATTTGGGAACTCCAAGTCTCAAGGCCTGCCACACTTAACCACCAATACCGTACGCAAAATACAATCAAGGCTTGAATCTTGGTATACAAGTCTACCACCGCCCTTGGGCCCTGGAAATATTGCTCTACCATGGAATTTAAAACTGCAGTGAGTTTCCTGCCTGTAGTTGTCCTGCAGTTGTCTTCAGGAGGCGACGCGAGGAGATACTAATCGGATATCGCAGCATGGAATACCAAGCTTTGGTTTTTGCCGTGACACAACTACGGACCACTGAGCACTTGCCATCTCCAGTATCGCCTGCATCATCCGACGAGAATGGCGTAGCGGAAACAGGGCAGGGCGGCGGCTTAAGCGCCTTGCGCCGGCTCGAAACGGTCGCTCATCTGTACTTTGTCCGGCATAGCTTCGAGTTCTGCGATGCCTTTTTGCTTCTTTTCCTCTCCACGCTGGGAATGTTAGCGTTGGAAAGTCTACGCGACTTGGCAGAGGATGCCGAAACGTTGAGAGATGTGAGGTCCACGCTTATACTCAGCGTCAAAGGGTTACGTGACCAGGGACAGCACATTCACATTGCCGCAGCCACGTATCGGCTTCTTCGCAGCAGACTGTCACCTGAAGACTTGTCGGTGGTTCAGGGGCATGCCCAATGGAACCCGGTTGATGAGAACGAGCCGCTTGTGGCCCAACATATTCAGTCACAGTGGCCGCTGGCAATCCTCGGCCGCGATTGCGATCCAGAGGCATCTTCTTTGGAGGCCCTTGCCAGCAACTTCCACCAGGTGTCCCTTGATGAACCCAATACCTGCGCATGTGCAGACTTTCAGTCAGGATCGGAGCTTGGTTCAGAGGATCGATCCATGGAAACGACCTGAGAAACGAGAATCGAATACGATGACCCTTTTAAACGTCCATAATGCACAATTCTTGTAGCCAGCAACCTATGCTTCTAGCAGACTACTTCGCCATTGCACTGTCAGAGATCTCGCTCGGTCACGCTCGACCGCAGAGGAAAATGGAAAGCCGACATATTAGGCTGCCCGTAGCAGAAATTTGTGAGAACATTGCCTCCAGATTGACGAAGTGGCGACAATTGTGCCGGCTAGCACGGTAGCGCGAGGGCGATGTCCGCAATACGACAGAATAGACGGAGCCGATGGCCAAGGGGAGAGTATACAAATCACATACCATATGGCTGTTTGCAAACCCCAGACATTCAGTTCAGTGCTCACATCAAAGACCATAACGAGCAATGAGCCTTGTCCGCAGAGAACAGAGAAGAGTTCAGCTTTGTCCCTTCTGTACAGTACGCCCGCCTCGAGTTAACTGTGAAGAAGTGGCTAAGGAATGTATTTGAGGCGGAAAACTGCGTCTAGCGTCTTTAAAGTCTGTTACCACGCAGCGTGGCCGCGTACGAATCCAACAATGTTCTGTCGGTGACCATCCGGCCCAAAGTCCAAGAATGTCGTCCTTCAGGCTGCCAGGGCAAGCACCGTTCGTCTGCATTCAGTCAGTCTAATTACAAAGCTCGAAGGGTCCGGAAAGTCAACCGCATTGGAACCGGCGTTGCAACCTAGGTTGCATACAAAGCAGTGGCTTCTGTGGCAATCATTGTTAGCTGAGGGTTAGCCCGGCGGAGATAGTCATGGAGATGAATACTGACACCTCTGGTGGTAGCTTGCGTCAACAAACCCTCTGGCAACCGTACATGCAAACATACTACTCGCAGTAGCAGTTGCTGAATTTCCTTGCTTAGCTTTTGCTACCGGGAGTAGGCACCTGTGAGCCTCAGCCACTCACCGTAAAAGAAAGTCTCCGCAGTGCCCTGTACGATAGCCATGCTTGCGGCACTGTATATATATCATATATCAGCGCCGAGCCCGTATCTGGTGAAGCCTCTCCACTAACGCAATTCCAGCATTTGTTTATATTGCCAGGGCAACCTTCCCAGCCTCCTTTGCACTCTCCCTGGTCCTTGCGGATCAAATCACGTTTGCCCGTGTTTATAGCTCCAGCAGCTGTCGAAGAAGCAAATATTGCCAGAGCCAGGAGAGAGTATGTGGGATTCATCTTCGCTCAATGAGTGTATGACGAGTACAATTGTAGTAAACTGAGGGTCAATAACGCGCCAAATAATTCGCGAACGAACGGCTTGGGATGCTGCATATATACCGTTTTAACATTGACAAACCGAAATACGACTGTCCAAGTTCCCTGGCCTGGACGTGAACTTCTGGATACGAGAACCCGAGATACGTATGCTGACTTAAAATTTGAGTGGTAGAACCGCAACCCCGGAGCGGACTCAAGAAAGCCGTCTTACAATACCACAGTGAACACAGAATCCCAAAAACTGGCACAAGATAGTCACGATTGTCCAACTCCAGGTGGAGGAACTTTTACCACGTATTTTCGTATTTTACCTGCCTAATCCAGCAGCACAGTGATCCAGGTGTCTGTATATGCACCGCGCATTTTATGTATCATTCGGGACTAGGGCTCCAGATCAGCGTTGCATTGAGAACCTGGATGGCGAGTCCAGGCCATTGGAGAAGAAGCAAGGCTCGGTGACACTTTCCTGTCAGCTGCGCAGTTTAGCTTTGCTGTAACGTCAGGCCAAGGTACTGTACATCTGGGCCAACGGCGAGATTCTCTGGAGCACAAACACGTGGTCTCCCGCAGCAAGAACCAGCCGGATCGCCCACATTATGACTTTTAGAAGGTGTGCTAATTTGACAACGTACGGGCAAGGCAGATTTGTGCGGGCTTGGATCTCGATCTCGTGCTAGCCCCGGGCGATTTCATGGAGACAGGCTTCCGGCCACGACTGGAGAGCTTTCTTGAAGACAAGGAGACATTCCCTGGAGACGAATACACGTGCGAGAAGACGAACGTCGTGATCGTGGGTCAAGGAAGCGATTTTCCTTTCTGAGAATCCAATTAGGAGACCGAGGATACACATTATTGAATGAACCTGGCTAGCGTCAATGTACCTGCTCAACTCGTGAGTGCGATGCTCCTTGCTCAAAGCCTGAGTAGACCCTCCGCTGGCGCCGTCGTGCAACACGTCCTCTTGCAAATAGCTGAGGTCAAGCCATTCAAAAATGAAGACTTGTACCGAACCAGGCCATGGACAGTCGCACTAGAAGGAAACGATGATCTAGTAGATTCATTGACTATCGGCACATTACTGGCTATGTACGAAGTCAAACCAACGTTCTGCAACTATTCGTTGTGGATTGTTTGCAGATTGGACAAACTTGCGAGCGTTCAACACATGCTCGAGCAACGCTACCGCCATCTTTGTTCGCCATTGGCATAGTATATGGTCGCACGATTGCGCTGCGAGGCCCATCGGTCAGGGTGCGCTTCAGCTAGCGTTGTCTCGCTGACCGCCACCATCCGCTCCAACAACTCGATGGCCTTCTTCATCCGCCCGTCCCCCTGGTGTGCTCCTGCGACTTCGTGACAGCGAAAGACATCTGGGAGAACTATTCCGAAGCATGGACCTTGTACGCCACGGCGCAGCGGCTGGAGGGTTCCGACGATTGCTCCGTCGCGCCCCCGGAGCTGCCGTGCTGGATGAGGGTGCGCAAGCACTAGCTACCTCCGGACGGCGGGTGGTTGGAGTACGTATTTGCGCACCTTCCGGGCGGGCGAAGGAACTGGTGTGGAACGGCAGGAGCCACTTCCTTCAGGTCTATCGCAGCTTCAAGAGTCTCTGGGACCACATCAGCAAGCCCGCTGGGCAGCTCGACAACCGGCTGAACAAGGCCATCGAAACCTTCTTCTTGGTCACGTTCAACAGCAGCAACACCAAAGTAGTCGGCACGAACCATTATCAGGGCTCATGGTACTACCGGAAGCCTACCTTTTTTCAGGTCCACTTTCGCGTTCCACATTTCTCGCCGCCCCAAGACAGCCACTTCTCGCGTCTGGATGCCATACGCCGGCCCCCGACTACCCGGGCATTGAACTTGACTTCCTTATTGATATGTATAGGTCGATTGGTGGGCAGCCCTGAAATTTGTGAAAGCTGGAGCTGAAGAGACCTTGTCCTCGTGTGTCGATTCGGCTTCACCAAGTGCACACGGCACTTAGTCCGAAAGAAGCCACAACGTGCGCCGTGCATGTACACGTGGTATCATTGACTGGGCTATGGAATCGGGCCGGTGAACCCGGGATTGTAGCCAGGAGAATGTCGTCACTCTCTTGATTCAGACTCTGTCTTGCTCGAACCAGGTGAAACGTCTCATGCGTCCAGCTGAGGCGGAGCTCGTCATGATACCGAACTTGTAACAGTGCGAGTCCTTCAAACGCTTTGATGCCAAACGAAATGTCCACAAAAATTCTCCACTTGCTCAGGCGTCACGCAGACTCGCTCGAGGGCAGCAGTCTGTCGCTATAGAATACAAATACCATCAACATCTTTCCAGCCCTTCTCGACTCAACATTTTCAACACATCTCCCATTTAGCAACATCTTCCTTCAGCCTTAGGACGTCCAACAAGTGTAGCTGGTCTATACAATACATCTGATTAAAGCCTCAACGCAAAACAACAGCAAAATCTTTCATAATGGTCCGCTTCAACTTGGCTATTCTTGCTCGTACGTTTGAATTTGGCCCAATATTTCTGTTATGCCCCCACAAAATTCAATTGCCTGCTAACACGCCTTTTGTACTAGTGAGCGCGACTGCCCTGGCGGTGACTACTCATAATGACCGCCGTGGACTCGAGGATCTCGACGAGCCCCATTTCATCAGCAGGGACGCGCCATTGATGGACTTGTACAGGCGCCAAGTCCAGAAACAGGATAGCCCCGAGATCCAGAAGCTCAAAGACGAGCGAAAGGCCATCTCACCTGAACTTGACCAGGCCATACAGGCCATGCGGGACGCTCGCAAGGCGGCCAACGCCGCCATTCCCCAGGATCTCAAGCAGAAGGAGGAGGCAGCAATCCAGAATGTCAAAACCATGCGGGAAGGTCTCCCTGAAGACAAGAAAAACCAGCTCAAAGAGAACGCGAAGGCCATTCAAGCTGAGAGGAAGAAGGAAAAGGCTTCTGCTTCTGCTCCGGCCAGTGCCCCGGCTCCCTCTGCTCCGGCTCCGACTCCGGCTTAGTTTTAAACTTGCTACAGGAAACATCCCGAGAATAAACAGTTCTGCAATATGCGGAACTTACCCTGTTACCTGCTCTGTGCTTGTAAGACGGTTGCCAGCGTGTTTCGCATTGGTCATATTAGGAAACCCAACTTGCAATTAGTTTCGACAAGCACAGTGGTGAGCAGTAAACAAGGGGTTCTGAATGTCCCAGCGTTGGGGGATATGGAGGCTTGTCTGCCTGTTTGACTGTCTTCGATTACGTAAAACGTGCGGGAGACACTGCAGACCTCGAAGCTCGGGAAGGGGGTGTGCTTTCCTTCGACCGAGCTAAAGCATCCGAAGTGACTATATTATGCGTAGTAAAGGGCGAAGCTAATAGTATTATCAAGAATACCTCTTCAAGGCCCTAATTTCATTGCAGGCATAGCTGCTTTCAGTTGAAAACTTATCGTGATCGTTCAGGTGCGCTGCAAGTCTGTGCCAAGCTGGTTCCTGCCGCAGTCGGCACAGACCACACCCCAGACGCTCTGCCGCGGGTATGGTGCATTGGTTAGGGGCGCGAAAGCTCGATGCCGTGCCTTGCCGCCGGGGTGCATTCTCCGGGTTCTATAGAGAACGCATTCAGCAAGGCCATCTCATCATACACCCCATCCATCAAAACTCTTGGATATGTCCATCGCCGGGCTCCCATCACGGAGAACACGCAGGTTTCGCTTCTGATCGCGACCATGCCGAGCTCACCGGCCGACACCTCAGGTCCGGACGGAGGGAAACCATGTGACCTCCCTGGTGTCGTGAAAGAGCAGAAGTTTGTTACAGAACTTGTTGCCGGAAGCGTCCTCGTACAATCACTGCACTCACCGAGCGTGGCCCAGGTTTGCGAAAGAATGCGAGACTGCTCCATCGCGCACCTTGCCTACCCCGGCTCCACGGATCATGCAGACTCGTCCAACAGCGGCCTGTTTATGAAGAGACAAGGTGAGCAGGGCCTCTTTAGTATTACATCTTGGAACGGGCCCCGTTCCAGCTTCTGAGCCAATCATATTGCGATTTCTAACCCCTCC